GCCCGCCGTGTCCTAGCCTGCCACGGGGGTTTTTTTTTTTTTTTTTTTTTTTGCTATAGGGCACATGCGCTCGCCAGACAGAGAGAGACAGATAGAAAGTGAGAAATCACCCCCCAGGGGGGATGGCCACGCCACAATCCCTTCTCCTCTGTTCTCCTCTCGGGATCTTGGGCATGCACGCACACGGGCCTGGCGTGAGTTTAAGCCACCTGGTCTGAGACTTGAACCGTGGTCGACTACGTGGGAGTCCAGCGACATAGCCATTACGCTAACTGCTGGTCTCCCTGCCACGTGGATTTAACCAAGCCCCTCTACTGCGGAGAGCTGAGGCTGAGAGCTTGGAAACTTGCTTAGGCACTGGTAGAGGTGGGCCTTGAACCCTGGTCCTCTGAGTAGCCCTCAACACGGCCCCTTGTGGCTTCACATAGTAAGTGGCTTTTGGGCACCTGCTCCTCTCCTGCCCCCTCTCCTCTCCTGCTGCGGTGGCGCAAGGTGGCTGTAGCTATGCTTGAGACCCCATGCACTCGGAGGGCCCAGATCAAGGTTGTATCAACCCCTCAGGGAGGACGGTTGCGCTCACAGAGGGTAATCAACTGGCTCAGGGTCTCACAGGCAGAAAGGGGGGTCTCCACTCCAGGCTGGCCAGTGACAGCCCAGCACGAGGTGGGCAGGGAGGCGGGTACTCACCTGTGTCCCTGGCGTCTGCTGGGCTGCTGCAGCCCCTAGGCCCTAGTAGACCAGGTGCTGCCCCCTGCCGTCCCCCAGTATGCCCAGGCCAGGGCTCACCTCTGGACAGAGGCCTCAGCCCTGCAAGGGGAGGCCGAGCAGAGCCCGCCCAGTCTGGCTGCTCTGTGTGGGAACTTCTCATCTGCGTGCAGTGGGAGCCCCCTGCTGCCCGGAGTGAGGATGGCAGGATGGTGGGAGGTGGGCCCAGCCACCCTGGCCCAGATGGCCTTCTCTCAGTTAACTTCAGGCAAACCAACAATGGTGGTGCACCTACTGTGTGCCAGGCATTGAGCAAGTGCACAGTGGGAGCCACGGGAGCTCACAGTCTGCTAGGCGGACAGACACGAGGTGAGCTCACTGCCCTAGGGGCTGTGTGTCCTTTCAAAGGCCTCGCTGCCAACACTCATGCACTCTGCTCTGAGAAGCCTTCCTGGATTGCTCCTCTGCCCAGTCCAGCCCAGCCCTCCACTGCCCCTGGGTCCCACTCTGTAATGCACATGTCGACCTGGGCTATAAGGGTTTCCTGCCTGCTTTTGCACTAGGCCTGAGCTCCAATTGAAGGCAGGGCCTTTGTTTTGCCATCTCAGGCTGTGCACGGACTGTGGGTCCCACTAGATTCTCAGGAAGCAAGGCTGGATGGAAGAGCATGGGCTGCACTGGCCAGCTCAGCTCGTCCAGGATTTCGAGGAGGGACTCCAGTGGTGGCACTTCGGGCGGGGGCTGGGTGAAGGTGTGGACGTGACCTCCCTAGAGTCCTAGAATTCAGGGCCACTGGGAGCGCCCACGGAGGTGCTCTCTGTCCTGTTCCCCAGTGCCTAGAACAGTGCCTGGCACACCTCAGGTGCCCAATAAGTATTTATGGAAAGTACAAACAGGTTTCCCGACTCAAGCTCCTCTGTAACTCCCACCTGATGGTTGAAGCCACTACATGCTTGCCTCATGCCACAGACCAGGGACTTCGTGCCCACCTCCCTGAGTGGTGGCCCTTTCTGTCTTCAGATAGTGCTGCCTGCTTAAGTCCCAGGGCTGGGCAGAGCCGGCTCCCCCTGCGCCGGCTCCCACGGAGCCCTGTAAGAAGCCCAGGCCCTGAGGACTCCTGTCCAGTGGGTAGTTGTGGATGCAGTTGCAGGGCCTCCAGGTGCCCACTGCGTGGCCCTTCTGCTCTCCACTGGGAAGGGGACCAAGGTGAAGGGGGGGTCAAGGATGGGGACATGGCCGTGGAGAGGACAGAACATCCTCACGAGTCAGATTAGAAGCTTTATTTCCTCTTTCTAGTGATCCCAAGGCAGCCAGTTGTGCTCTGAAAATGATAGATCCACCCCTGTGGCGAGGCGGGGAAGCTCAGGACCAGAGAGGGGAGGGCAGCAGACAGAGGTCACACAGCCTGCATATGCCCTGTGATCAGCAGGGGGGACCTCACAGCCCAGGGCTCCTTCCATGACCATGGCTGCCCTTTTACAGGCCCGATGGGGTGGCAGAGTGGGGCCCAGCTCACAGGCTGACTGGGGTCTGCGGAGCTTTCCTCTGCTCAGCCTCCTGCAGCCCCAGCTCAGACCTTCTGTGGTGTAGTGTCACCGCCAGGTGTCACATGGCTGCAGAGACAGGGCTCTCAGCCCTCCTTCCCCCTCAAGGTGCGCCTGTGGAGGTGGGAGGTGGCGAGCTGCTGTTCCTCTCCGGGAATCCACCTGCTCCGCTCGCCCACTCAGGCTGGCACTGGGGCAGAGGTAACCACATATCTAGCTCCCCTGCCAAGGAATTTCCCTCCAGGGGCTCCCCAGAGTCTGTGTGAGGGGTGGGAAGTGCTCCCGAGAAGCCCGTGAAAGCCTCCTCCAGGCTGGCCTTTCTGGGGCCACAGCTGCTGGCCTGTGTCATGGGAGTCCACTGTAGAATGATGTCATGGCTGTCGGGGCCTTTGGGCCGCCCCTCACCACTGTGGGGCTGCCTGGCCTGTGGTCTCATAGGGCGGCTGTGGAAGAGACTCTGCTTCTCTGAGCCTGAGTCTGGTGTCATTCCTTGACTCAGCCGCTGCCTCCAGGCAGCCTTCCAGGTAAGCACAGTCCACAAAGCTCTCTCTACTCGGTCCTGGGCTGTAGCGCCAATCTTCTTTGAGCTCTGTCTGTCTGGGCTGATCTCTGTCACTTCCTCAAGAAGTCATACCTGCTCCTCTCCCTCAAAGGACGTCCTTGTGCATGAGGGCCACTCTGCTCCCCTGTCCCCGTCAGGCTGCAGCCAGAGCCAGCCCTGCTCAGTAAACGAGTGCCCCACCTCGGCTGGGAGCTGGGATTCGGAGCTAGAGGGGCCACGACACTCTTTAGTGCAGACACTGCGGTCTTCCCAGAACCAGAGGAGGGGTGTGACTTGGTGGAGGGCACACAGCAGGCCCGAGACAGAGCTGGGCCCAAGACCACAGGGCCTGGGCTCCCAGTGCTCCCCAGGGTTGTGTCTGTGGGTCTGGGCGGTGTGTGCTAATGCCTGCGTAGGCAGGCAGGGTAAAGCCAGTCTGAGGACAGGAGGGGTGGGGAGGGCAGGAGGCACTCCGGGACCCCCAGCCCTGCCTCTCCGGGGCTGGCCATGGGTCGGAGTGTGAAGAGCTCTTTCAGAGCTGCGGGTGCTGAAGTCCAGCGTGGTGAAGGGTGTGGGCTGGGTGCCAGGTGTCTCTTTGGTGGCCTCCCTCGCCCTTTCTGTAGTGGACTCGGAGAAGGGCCCAGGGCCTCTGCGGTCAGAAGCTGGATGCCAGGGCCGGGGCCTCGCCGCCCGCTCTGAGCCCTCCGGGGCCCCACCTTCCCATCCTGCCTCTCCCTCTGCATCGGCTGGAGGGAATGACGGAGGGTGGTGTCTGAGGCGGGGGCTGCACAGGGCCGGGAGGCAAGTGTCTAGGCCCGCAGGGCACGGCCGGCACCACCGTGAGGAGCTCACTGCTTGCTGGCGATCTTCTTTTTCCGAGCAGAGACCAGGTCGTAGAAGGGGACGCGGGTGATGCTGGCTCTGGACAGGAGTGGGAGCAGGTTTCAGGGCTGGCCGGCCTTCCAGGGTCCAGTCTCCCTGGGCTTGCACTTAGGGCCATGGACTCCCCAGGGAGGTGTCAGCCTGCTCTGCTGCAGGGGACAAGCCAGCTGGCCCCAACAGGGTTGGGTCTGGCCTTACTAGCCCAGCCTGGAGTCCCACAGGTAGAGCCAGAGGGCTTGGCTCAGGGCTGAGAGTCTTGGGAGTTCTGGCCCCCAAGAGTCCCTGGATCCCTCTTCGGGCTGCATGGGAGACTCCTAGAAGAGGTGCCAGGAGCAGGGGTGGAGCCAGCAGGCTTGCTTGCTGGGTGGCTCTGTCCCTAATGGCTGTGTGGCCCCAGGCAAGTCCCTCCCCTCTCTGGGCCTCAGTTTCCTCATCTGGAAAACGGAGATGAGAATGGGATTGCTGCAAGGCCCTGGACAGGCCCTGGCCCCGTGGCCACTTCTGTCCTCCCCCGGCCGCACTCTGGCAGCTGCTTACTCAAGCCCTGGGCAGGTTCGTCATCTCTCCTCGCCCTGGGCTCCCCACCCCGGCTTCTCTCCCCATCAGCAGCGTCTCTCACTGGGACTGAGACATCACCTGTCTCTCCTTCGCCCACTGTGGCAGCCCAAACCAGCCCCGACATGGTGGCTTTTCTCACCTGGCCATACCCTGCCCCTCCTGACTAGTCTGTGGCTCCCAAGTGCCCCAGGAAAGACCAGAACTCACTGCCATAGCAGCCAAGGCCTTGTCATCCTCTGTGGCTACAGGTCCCACTGCCCAGCCCACCTGGACTTCAGGAAGCGGTCCAGGTAGGTCACTCGCTCACCGGCCCTCTTGTCTCTGCCCACACTGGTCCTCCTGGCTGGAAGCCCTCCCCCCACCCAGGTCCCGCCCAGGGCCACTCTGGGTGACCATGCACATTCACAAGCACCCCAGGACTGGGTGCTAGGTGCTGGGTGCTGGGCGAGACCTTTGCATGCAACACTCGCAGATCCTCCTACGAGCCCAGGAAGTTGCCCCCTCCACATCGAGGGGGTGTCTCGCGCTGGGACTGGAAGGGATTCGCTTGCCAGAGACAGGAGGGAGGTTGGGAGTTAGGCCCCTTGACATGAAGGCATCAAGGCCCCAGAGGAGCAGGGCTCCAGCACTCACCGGATGGCCTCGATCCACCTGTCGCGCTCCTCGGCGCTGGAGGCGGAGATGCGGTAGGACTCGTGCTTGCCCTCCACCACCTTGCCTTCGCCGTCGGTCTTGCAGGCCTTTATCTTCTGGCCTCGGCAGCTGGGGTTGTAGAGCTCCAGGCAGAACTGCGGGGAGGCCCCGGGGAGGGCAAGAGGGAGGCCGCAGGCTCTCAGGAGCTCAGACAGGACCAGACACTCAGGCGAGACCAGCGCTCCACCCAGCAGCTGGTGTCCCCGGCCAGCAGGCCCCCCGGGCTCACGGGCCCACATCTTATACACGGAGGGGCAGGGGCCAGCACTTACTCGTGCTGGGCTCGACCTCAACCCCCAGGTCACAGATGGGGAAACTGAGGCTCAGACTGTGAACTCATTGTCACGGTCAGCCTCTCTAAGACAACTGACACTGTGCTCTTCATGGACAGCGACCTGTCCCCAGGGTCCATGGCCTCAGGAGGCAGAGGGAGGGCTGCCCTAAGCCACACGGAAGGGGTGATGAGCACGGCCAGCTACTGGAGCCACCCTCTCCCACTGCCCTGTTGGGGAAACTCCCAGCAGCTCTGGCCCCGGCCCCTGCACTCTGACACGTACTGGCTTCTTAGGGTCGTCCACCTTCTGCACCGAGAGGTTCTCCAGGGGTATGATTCCCCGGGGCTCCTTGTCCTAGGGGAAAGGGAAGGAAGGTTAGGGTCAGCAAGTGGGGCCTCGAGGCCTAGGGCAGGGAGTGAACTCATGGGGCTCCCTGAACCCCGACTTCTAGGACTGGCCAGCCTGGCAGGGAGCAGGTGCAAAGGGCCCTGGCTGGGAGCTGGAGACCCAGCTTTATGCCTGCTCTGCCTTGCACCCAGCCCCTCCTCCTCTCTGCCTCCGTTGCCCCCATCTGTAAAGTGGGCGAGGAGGCGGACTCACTGTTCTCAGAGCGTTTCAGGCTCTGTCCATTGGCTGCTCGCTGGGAGCTGGGTAGGGACTCAGGCAGGGGCAGGGAGAGGCCCGGGGGACCCCCACTCACAGTGGTGAATTCGAAGTAGTAGAGGCAGCTGTCGGTCAGGATGAACCAGCGCCGTTTCCAGGTCTTCACGCGGCCCCCTGCCAGAGGCCGACGGTGCAGCAGTCAGTCCCCACCCCCACCCCTGCCCTGGGAGAGCAGGGCCTCAGACACTTGCCAGGGCCCCACTGAGCGTGGACCCCTCGCCTGCCACACTTTGTCCCACGCTGTCCTGTCCAAATTCAAAAACCTGAGCAGCTCCCTCAGCCTGGGCTTCCCCTAAGCTGCCTGACCTGGCGTTCAGGGCACCTCGGTGGCCAGGCGGGGGAGCAGATGCTGGCCATCTCCTGTCCCTTCCGGCCACCGTCACCCCTTGGTGCAATCCTTAGCCCGTGGCTGCCTGACATTGTGCTAAGCACCTCGTTTTTCATTTGCCAGGATTATTCTAGAGGTTTCTAACAAAGGTTTACTTCATACCCGTGGCCACCTGTGAGGGAGCACCACTGTTCACTCCGTTTTAGACGAGGAGACTAAGGCATGAAGGGGCCGAGCCTTCTGGCCCAGGTCCCGGAGCAGAGCTGAGGGTCAGCCCCCTGCCCTAATCCCAGAGCCCAGCTCTTGACCATTTGGCTGCACATTGAATCCCCCAGTGCCCCCCCCCCCCCACAGCTGCAGAAACTCAGGCCAAGGGGCCGGAGCGTCGGCACACAGTGGAGGAGGCAGGGTTTGAACCCAGGGCCGGGTGGCTTTGAGGCCTCTCTCCCAGACGAGTCAGGATCTGTGACTCAGAGCTTTCCTGGGGCTAAGAACAGGTGGTTGGGCAGGGCGGGAGGCCGAGCGCCTGGAGGAGGAGGATAGACTGAGGCCTGGAGCGAGGAAGGCTCAGATGGGCATCTGGGGGTGTCAGGTGGAACTGGTACGGTGCTTAGTACACAGTAGGTGTGCGGGCTGTGCAGACCAAGGCCTCTGTTTCCATGTGAGGTGTCTCTCCTTCCCTGTCATGGGAGTCTCTGCAGGGGATGCTCCAGGAGGGTATCAGGATGCAGAGGCAGAGGGTGGGCCCCGGAGCCCCCCGACAGTTCCCCACTAACATCTGCAGCTGCTGGCCCCGAGGCGGCCCCCCCCACGCAGCACCCTCCAGGCTGCCCCCACCACGCAGCACCCACCATGCAGCACCCACCACGCAGCACCCGCCAGGCTGCACC